GTGGAGATTTCCCCTTTCCCCAGGCTGCAGTGGGATGGGGCAGGGACAGGCAGGGTTACAGAAGGGGCTGGCACTGAACTGAAGAGAACTCTATGAGAAGCAAGACAGAGGGTTGTAAGCACCCTGTGAGAATAGGATTTGAACCCATGTGTGCATAGCACAATAGATTAGCAGCCCATTACTATAAGCACTTGGCTACCTCATCTGAGCTGTTAGGGTACTCAAAGTCAACACTGCTGGAAGCTTTGTGCTACTCGGCTGGCCAGGGACACCCAGAGCAGGAGGGTTTTGGATTTTCATAATGTTCCCTGGGCTGTTGTACAAAGCTCAGTGCTGGTAATAAACCCAAACACCCCCTGGGAGCCCAGACATGGGCTGGCTAGTCACAGCCAGGCTCGGAGCGCTCTCTGCAGTGGGAAGATGCACATGGAGCAGTCACACAGCAGCAGCACACAGCTCTGGTGGGGTGAGGGAAGGCCCAGCATCTGGAGGAGCATTTTCGAGAGGAGACTTTACTGACAGTGTCTGTCTCTGGTCTGATTTCACCATGTAGTGAGACACCGGCACCTACAGCAACATGGATGGCAGGGTAGTCCAGATTGGGAGCCAGGTGTGAGAGTTTAGAACCTGGGTATTGAAGATGCTCAACTGTTCAGTTAACATCCCTGGGAGGTGGGGCGCTCCCTGCAATTCTCTTCAGCCTGGGTTTCCTTGGGCCTTCAGGCACTCCATTAAGGTAAGTCTACCTGTTCAGCTATTTCAGAATACTAGAGGGATCCTAAAATAGCTACCCTGCATTTTATTAAGCTGCCCATTATTTCAAATATTTTTTAAAATAATGGGTAAGCTATTTCAGCATCCTGGCATAGGGATGTCTCAAAACAGTGTTTTATTTAGAAAATTGGCATGGTGAGATGAACCACATTTCAAATAATCTATTTTGAAATATAATCGCACCCTTAGGGGGCATTATTAGACGGATCCCACCCCGCCTCATCTCACTTTTAACAGAGAGCCCCAGGAGCAGAAGGCTGAAAATTCAGCATCAAACCAGAACCCTCGTGTGGGGCCTGTAACGGTTGTTGTCCTGGATACAAATAGCAGGATAGCTCTAAATTTGGCACTGGGTACACGCCAAAGCTATTTTGAAATAAGGTCAAAAAGACAATTTGCATAGTTCAAATTGCATCTTATTTTGATCCTCCATGCATTGTAGACGCACCCTGAGGCTATGTCTACACTACGGCTGTGTCTAGATTGGCAAGTTTTTCCACAAAATCAGATGATTTTGCGGAAAAACTTGCCAGCTGTCTACACTGGCCGCTTGAATTTCCGGAAAAGCACTGACGATCTCATATAAGATCGACAGTGCTTTTCCGGAAATACTATGCTGCTCCCGTTTGGGCAAAAGTCTTTTTCCGAAAGACTTTTGCGCAAAAGGGCCAGTGTAAACAGCACAGTAGTGTTTTCCGCAAAAAAGCCCCGATCGCGAAAATGGCAATCGAGGCTTTTTTGCGGAAAGCCGTGTCTAGATTGGCCACGGACGCTTTTCCGCAAAAAGTGCTTTTGTGGAAAAGCATCCTGCCAATCTAGACGTGCTTTTCCGAAAATGCTTTTAACGGAAAACTTTTCCATTAAAAGCATTTTAGGAAAATCATGCCAGTGTAGACGTAGCCTGTATTTCCAGAAGAGGCAATGCAAATGAAGCTCAGATTAGCATTTCCTCATCCTTCATTTGCATAATCTCCTCCAATCCATTTTTACACTAGGGTTTTTTGTGCAAAGACAAGCAGTATGGCTGTGGCCTTTTTTTTTTCTGTGCAAGATTGGTATTTCTCCTTTTTTGAAAAACCCTCTCTATATTGTTTTTTTTTTTTAAAAAAGCAATTGGTAGGAGATATACAAATTCACACCAAATTTGCATATCTTCTTTTCAAAGCTGGGGGCAGTCTAGACACACCACCAGTGGTACCTGGGGGTGAGATGTTGATTTGTTGCAAATCCTTGGCAATCCTGTCCCCTCTTGCCCAATTCTACTTGGTGCATCTTAACTTTCTCACTCTAGGGACTTTGACAAACCCAATTAAACAGCTGCTCCAGTGATGCAATGGGTCAGTACACAGTACCTATAAGACAGTACTCATAGGTGATATGCTGAGGTTGAGAGTTCAAACTTCAGCTGCAGCTGTGATTTTTTCAAGCTTTGTAGGGCTTTCCCTTTGCAGTGGGCCCCCCGGGGAGCTGGGATTCAAGTCCACACAAAGGAATCAGTGGAAATCCCCTCTTTGCTTATTATGGCCTCATCAGAGTGAATGCTGGGTGGCCAGGATCCAAGGCCAAGTGGCACAGAGAGGGTGGGACCCTTGACCCTCTCACCACCATTACCCATTTTCATCCCCACCATCAGCAGCCTCTATCCTTTCCGCCACTGGGTCAGCTCAGGAAGGGAGTAAGGAATGTGGCAAAATAGTGAGTCAGGCAGAGGGATGCAGGCAAAGCTCATCTTGCCCTACATGGCCCCTGGCAACAGCTTCTCTCTTGTACATCCCTTACAGAGAAGTGGTGGTCCCAGAGGCTAACCAACAACTGCTGAAGTAGCTCAGTTGGGAGAGCCTTAAACTGAAGATCTAATAGTGCCTGAATCATTTCCAGCCTTTGGCAGAAGCCTTTAGAATTGTAGGGCTGGACGGAACCTCTGGAGTCATTGGCTATGTCTACCTATAAAAGTTATTTTGGGTTACCAGAGGTATCCTCAACTAGCTGCCCTGTGTCTTCACAAACCACCTGCTATTTTGAAATATTTTTCAAAATAAGAGATGTGGTATTTCAGCATCCCAGTAACCTTTGTTCCACAAGGGGTAAGAGATGTCTTGAAACAGAAGTTTATTTCTAAATTTATTTCGAAATAGCCTATTCTGAAATAAACTTGAAAAAGCTACACAATTTGAATAGCACATGTTGCGTATCTTCTTTCAATGTTACAGTGCAGTGTAGACATAGTCATTGAGTCCAACCCCATCCCAAAGCAGAACTAACCTCAACTCAATTGTCCCACCCAGGGGTTTGTCAAGATGGGATTTAAAACTCTCTATGGATGGTGATTCCACCCCCTCCCTGGGAACCGATCCCAGTGCTCCCCCACTCTCCTAGGGAAATAACTTTTCCTAATCTTCAACCTGGACCTCCCCCACTGAAACTTGAGACCATTGTTCCTTGTTCTACCATCTGTCACCATTGAGAGCATCCTCTCTCCACCCTCTTTGGAACCCCCCTTCAGGGAGTTGAAGGCAGGTCTCAAATCCCCCTCCTCCCCCCACTCTGCTCTGCTCCAGACTAAACAAGCCCAAATCCTTCAGCCTTTCCCTCTAGGTTATATGCTCCTGCCCCCTCCTCAGTGTGGTTGCCCCCCACTGGACAATCCTTTGCTCCTAAGGCTGAGCCCATTTGGCTCCTCTGTGGAGAACCCAGCTGTGCTTCTGAGAAAGGCCTTGTCTGCCCTGCTACCCCATCCAGGAGCTAGCCAGCCCAACCCCTCTTCCCTTGCCCTGCCTTAGCCAGGGTAGGGGGAAGGAGCTCTTCTTGGAGCAGCAGCTCTGTCTCCACAACTTCTACCATGGCCAGGCAAAGGGAGGCTGGGGCCCAGAGGCTTTCTGCCCCAAAAGGGCTGGCTTCTTGGGAGAGCAAGTAGGAGGAGGGAGGGGCCATTGGAGGCCTTTAGACCCCTGGCTGGCTGTGCCAAGAGAAATACAGACGCCTCATCACTGGAGAAGGTGAGTATTGATCCCACTGTCTCTTCTATGCTATATAAACACTCTGACACTTGAGCTAGTTTCCCCACCCCAAAAAGAGCTCTCCTGCTCCACACACCTTGTTCCACCACCCACAACAAAGCTGTCCAAGGCTCCTTTCTGAAAGGGCTGCTTATGAGCCCTATTCCTGTGGTTGGTTAGGTCAGTTGGTCAGAGTGTGTTGCTAATGTCACGATTATGAGGGTTAGCCAGCAGCCTGGGGATTAAAGGGTTAACTACACCTAGCCAGGTGGAGTGACCAGTAGGAATGGTCTTTCAAACTGGGACAAAGGAATTTGGGTTTTTTCCTTTCTCCCTTTTGTCTCTCTGGGTGTGTTCTCTGCAGCTACAGAGAGGGACAAGCATGTCTCTCTCTCTCTCTCCAAGACACGATTCTTCATTTTCTGTAAGTAGAGTAAAGTTTAGGTAGTTTTGTTAGGCTTTATTGTTTTAAGGGTTGGGTATGGGATCTGATGTCTGGCACTGTTTAAAAGATGGTTTGGCTTTTCTTTGTAACTAAGTTCTAAGCCCATGGAGTTTCTCCATGGCTGTGTCTACACTGGGCCACTTATTCCAGAAAATCAGCCGCTTTTCTGGAATAAGCTGCGAGCTGTCTACACTGGCCCTTGAATTTCCGGAAAAGCAACGACACTCTACTGTACAAAATCAGCCCCTATTCTGGAAAAGCTACACTGCTCCCGCTCGGGCATAAGTCCTTATTCCGGAACACTGTTCCGGAAAAGGGCCAGTGTAGACAGCACAGTAATCTTTTCCGGAAAAAAGCCCCAATTGCGAAAATGACGATCGGGGCTCTTTTCCGGAAAAGCGCGTCTACATTGGCCACAGATGCTTTTCCGGAAAAAGGGCTTTTCTGGAAAAGCAGCCTGCCAATGTAGACGCTCTCTTTTCCGGAAATACTTATAACGAAAACTATTCTGTTTTAAGCATTTCCGGAAATTCATGCCAGTGTAGACACAGCCCATGAGTATATTTTGTTACCTTCCCATCTAGTCATTATGCTTGCAACAGGAATATTGTTGTAATAATAAAAGTCTTCTCTTTTCTTTTTATTAACCTGACACTGGTTACTTGTGTGTCCTGATTTTTAAAATAGGGGTGAAATTTCCTAAATGATCTTTCCCCTGATTTCTTTATCAGTATTTAGGTGGTGGCAGCAGAAGTTTTATTCCCAAGATCTAGGTTTTTAGGATTTTGGGGGAAGTTTTATACCAAAGCCTGGTAGATAAGGCTTTGGAGTACACTTGCTGGCCCCCACTTCTGCATTTATCATGCCAGAGTGGGGAAGGAGCCATGAAAGCTAATACTGCCAAAGTCATAGGTTCAAGCCCTATTGTGGCCATAGGGACTCTTGGGGTTGTGGTCTGAGGCTCAGAACTGTCATTCGTGCTTAAATTTGACACTTTACAAATGGGCCTTAACAAAGATGCTAATTATCTTACCCATTACCAGCTTCCCCAATTGTCACCCCTAATATAATTATCTCAAACACTAACCTCCAACCCCCCACCCTCCCTGTTCTAAAATCTGATTTGTCAATTTTATATGTTCACTTTTTTAAAAAAATTGTATCCCTTTGGTATATATGGTCATGCCAATTTTCTTCCACAATTTGATCTGAGGAAGTGGGTCTGGCCCACGAAAGCTCATCACGTAATAAACTATCCTGTTAGTCCAGTCCTTGGTGACAGTCTTTTACGTACTTAGATGTTATAAAGAGGAGGGAAAAAATTGTTCTCCTTCAACCTCTGATGATAGAAGCAGCAATGGGCTTAAATTGCTGCAAGGGAGGTTTAGGATGGACATTAGAAAAAGCTTCCTAAGTATCAGGGTGATTAAATACTGGAATAAATTGTCTGCAGCGGTTCTGCAATCTCCATCATTGGAGGTATCTATCAGGGATGATAGATGGTGCTTGGGCCTCCTCTGAAGGCAGGGGAAAAGGTGATGATGTCTCAAGGTCCCTTCCAGTTCTAGTGTTCTATGCTGCTCCTGTGTGGATTGTATCATGACTGTTAAAATGTGAGTGCCAAATCAAGATTTTCCAACAGGAAAAGAGTTTTTCCCGTGTTAATTCTCCAATCTTTAACAAGGCCTCATCTCTCTCTCTGAAACTTTCCCCCGCACAGAACAATCAGGGTTTCTCCCCTGTGTGGATTCTTTTATGTATAACGAGATATGAGCGCCTACAGTAGCTCTTCCCACAATCAGAGCAGCTGAAAGGTTTCTCTCCTGTGTGAATTGTCATATGATTAAGAAGATGCGTGCGTCCACGGAAGCTTTTCCCACAGTCAGAGCAGATGAAGGATTTCTCCCCTGTGTGGATTCTTTTATGTATAACGAGATATGAGCGCCTACAGTAGCTCTTCCCACAATCAGAGCAGCTGAAAGGTTTCTCTCCTGTGTGAATTGTCATATGATTAAGAAGATGCGTGCGTCCACGGAAGCTTTTCCCACAGTCAGAGCAGATGAAGGATTTCTCCCCTGTGTGGATTCTTTTATGTATAACGAGATATGAGCGCCTACAGTAGCTCTTCCCACAATCAGAGCAGCTGAAAGGTTTCTCTCCTGTGTGAATTGTCATATGATTAAGAAGATGCGTGCGTCCACGGAAGCTTTTCCCACAGTCAGAGCAGATGAAGGATTTCTCCCCTGTGTGGATTCTTTTATGTATAACGAGATATGAGCGCCTACAGTAGCTCTTCCCACAATCAGAGCAGCTGAAAGGTTTCTCTCCTGTGTGAATTGTCATATGATTAAGAAGATGCGTGCGTCCACGGAAGCTTTTCCCACAGTCAGAGCAGATGAAGGATTTCTCCCCTGTGTGGATTCTTTTATGTATAACGAGATATGAGCGCCTACAGTAGCTCTTCCCACAATCAGAGCAGCTGAAAGGTTTCTCTCCTGTGTGAATTGTCATATGATTAAGAAGATGCGTGCGTCCACGGAAGCTTTTCCCACAGTCAGAGCAATAAAAGGTTTGTCCCATTGTGTGGATTCTCTGATGTTCAATAAGAGTAGCACAGTCATTGTACGAGGAGTGTGCTTGGTCAAGGGGGATTTTCTGTTGAATGGTTTCTATGTTTCCTTTCACTCCTCCGCTCCTGTGACTGGATTCACCCTGTTCCTTCTCTGAATGGTTTCCCTGGTGCCTATCTGGGCTACGTTGGCTCTTACAGGTCTCTCCCTGCTCACATATCTGGGAAACATGCCCTTCAGATCCTCCCAGAAACATCCCACATGGAGCCATTTGTTCCAGTCCTTCCAGCTGAAGACTCTTCTCATGGTTCTTAGTCAGCGCCCCATCACCTGCTGGGATAGACAAAGAATCCAGACAGGAGTTATTCTCCACGATGAGCTGAAAGAAAACTCTGAACAGGAAATACAGAATCCTTGAAAGTTCAATAATCATGAGTTGAGCCCATCCTCCTTCCACAGAGTCCTTTCCCAAAGGAGACAGACCAACCTTTGCCCTCCACTCTGACTGGAATTGAAGACAAGCTGAAAGCTCAGTGAGACTTGATGAAAGTGCACAAATGACACCTGAGTCAGCTTAGCTGATTGCTCACCTGTGTGGGTGTCACTGATGATCTCCCCTTCCTCACAGCCCTGGAGATCTGGGATCCACATCTCTTCCTCTTGCTCCACCCAGGAGATCGCATGAGCTTTGGACACTGGAAATCCTGCTTGGGGAGCAATTAACCAAGTGCTGATTTTCTTCATTAAAGTCTGTGCCATTATACTTCTAGACCCAGGATCTGACTCACTCACCCACCTTGCGGAGACTGGATGTTACAAGATCCCAGGACAGACTCCTCTGCAGAAAGAGTGCATTACCTCCTGCCTGATGAATGGCCTAGCTTATTCCCTGGGGGAGCTGAGTGCTCTTCTCCACTCTTGAGGGCATATGGAAGCAGTGGGGTAGGGGTTGCGGTGCTTAGGAGTTGTGGGAAGAATGGAGACCCCCCCTCAGATTCTGCATTCCTATCCCCAGACCCCTACTCCCAGCACACCTCTCACCCAAACTATGCTCTCTACACCTATTCTGTCACCACAGGTGGTTGGCTTGAGGTCCACGGAAAATCTGCATTGAGCAATGTGGGCCATGGTCTAAAAAAGTTGAGATCCACAGTTCCAGTGTACAACTAAGTCTCCCTCATGGCCTGTTTCATCCTCTCACCCACTCCAGGGTAGGTCAGGAACATGCTGCTTAAGAGACACAGTCAGGGCTCAGACTACAGTGGCCACATGGCAGGTCACTAGGACTTGGAAAGGACCCAGCAGCTCCCCAGCTGTGGCTCTGCAAGGGCTCTGTCCACAAAGCTCCTGCTCATTGGATTGGATGCTCTACTTGAACCAGGCAGAAGCAGAATAAGTTACCTGAACAGTGAGGGAAATCCTTTGCTGGCTGCTTCAGACCCTGCCTGTGTGCCACACTCCTGACTCCACCTGTGGTTGGGTGGGCCCTGACACTGCCCATAATAGCTACTACTTCCATAGCTGGCCATGGTGGTGTCTGGCTGCGCTTCTTGCAGGGAGGGTGTCTTGGAGCAAAAGCTGCTTTGTTTCTGCAGCTCAGCTCCCCTTCTGCAACCTTGGTTCTACTCTGCCACAACCACTACCACCAGTAGCCTCTTTGTATGGATTCCAGCCTTCCTCCTGACCAGCCTGGCCTCCCATTTGTTGTCTCCCTGGGCTGCACAGAATCAACCATTCACATTTTTGCCACCTCATGGGCGCCTTCCTCACACGGTCAGCCAGACCACTTCTTGGACAATCATTGAGTGCTGGGAAGAGCCCCCTGTGATTTTATAGGATTAAAATGACGATGTAGGTCATAGTGCTACCACAAGTTTTGTTGTAATTGTGCCATGTACAATGCCAATGGGAACGTTCTGATGCGATGATTGTGATTATCACTGTCTGCACGTGGACATCATTGTTGAACCTCAAGTTATGAATAATGACCATTAGCCCATCTTTCAAATATAGGTACTACTGTGGAAATATCTAAAATGTCATTTCCATCCAGCTAGCGCACTGTGAACGGAGCATTCAGAGGGACGGTCCATCCAGAAAACATGCAGGCCATGGAAAGCTCATCCCCAGGGACAGACCTTCCCATGGACTTTCCAGGGAGACAGAGGGAAATGCCACCATGGCTCATCAGAGCAGGCACGGGCATGTGACACTGAACTCCATCCTGTCCCTGTGCGTTTCTACTCACAGTGCTGGGGGCTTTGCTTGGAACAATGAGTCCCTTCAACCTGTGCTCCCTGTGAGCTGTGCACATGTGTGGCTGCCAAGGAGAAAAATCACATCCTGCCCAGCACTATCCTGCACCTGCTCCCAGGAGGGAATCTCCTAACTGCACAGAGTGGGGGGAGGGGAGTGCTATCTCAGGGTGTCCCCAGAGGCTGTACCCAAACTCCATAGAGCATGGCAGAGGGGGGACAGTCTGGCTGCTTCAGGATGTGAATGGTGACAGCCTGACTCTCTTAGAAGCAGTGCTCTGCTTGTGAGAGATCTCAGCAGCCAGCTCACAGTCTGTCTCGCACACAAACTCTCCATCCCCGTTTTTTCAGGAAGAACGGCTCTTGTGCAAGAGGAGGTTTTTGTGCAAAAAGGAGCCATCTACACAGCTCCTTTTGGAATAAAAACAGCTGCTAATTAATTATGCAAATGCAGCATGGCAATATGCTACTCTGTGCTTCATTTGCATAAGCTTTTGTGGAAGAAGGGTGCAGCATAGATATAGTCTCTGTGTCTCACTCACACACTCTGTGACACAGAGATGGGCGCACACACAATTCTCCTTCCCCTCCTTGTGCACCCCCTCTGTGCCGAGCAGGGGAGGGGGAGACAATAGGGCTTAGGGACAAAGCAGGACAGCTTGCACTGTCTTAAAGAGACAGTACATGGGGCTTCCCAGAAACTTCCCCAGTAGCAGCCAGCACACAAGCAATCTCTGTCCTTCTCTTACACACACAGTCTGTGTCACACACATGGTTGTAAAGTAAACAACTATCTCCCAGAGATACACACTATTTCACACTCAGCTTGTAGCACATCACTATTATTGTCGCCGTTACTGCTTAGCACTACCGGTAATGCACATGTAGGGTCTCTATCATTTTATTCTTTCCAAGTGTGGATGTTAATGATCTGACTGGTCTATGCTTTTTATTTCTCTTACACTTGCATTTAACTTTTTGAGTAATAAGTAGTGAATGAACTAGCCTGTCCTCACTGAATTATCCATGTGGTCACTTTAAAAAAAAATTAGATACTAAATCGAAAAGGGTTTTTGTTTGTTCTGGTGGCACACAAGAGCCCGTGTCAGTTCACAACAACATGCATTCCACACTTGGATGGAAAAAAGAGAGGGAACCCTGCCATCCACATGCCGGAGAGCTATAAAAGGCTAGTGAAACAACTCTAGTTGGCCTTTTCCCAGCTCTGATGGCTGGTCTACGGACATACCCTATTGAAATCATTCTAACCACAGGACAGAGAACTGGCCAATCTTTAAGAAGCAACCAGACACTTACCTAACCAGTGGTTTATTCCATCATTGGCTCAAACCTTATGCAAGAACATTGCAATGTGGGTGTGTGTATTTGATTGCAACCCTAACAGTGACACCCTCCCTACGTAAGCAGCTCAGGCCGGCTTGCTGGTATTGTAAGAATACCCTGTAGAGGGTGATACCTATGCGGAGTCCTTTTGGGAGGTTGGCTCACCTGGCAAGGGTAGAGGTGCAGCTTTCCCATGGCTCAGAGAAGGGGAGGAGCTGTGCTGTCACTCTGTCGTGCTGAGACTACCCCAGGGGACCAGGGTCAGCAATAAGGCCCTGCAGCTACACCTGCCCAGCGCTCCTGCTACTTATGGAGTGGAACAGGCTGCCTGTGACCTGCCCTGCCTGCCTGCGGAAGCCAGGCCAGTTTTTAAGCCCAGCTGCAACAGTGGCTAAGTGCATATGGCCCTGACCTGGCTGCCTTGTTGCCTAATCAAGTCACGGAGGTTGAAAGATACGTGGCTCCCAATCCTGATTGTGTCTGCCTGCTCAGTGAATGCTGGGGGAAATGGGAAGAACTCTGGCTCATGGGTGAACACTGAGCCCATGAGCTTTTGTTTAGTGATGGATCAAAGCCCCTGAAGGGATGTGTTGCTGCTTCTTGTGTGCTTTGGAGAAGAGGAAGAGGGAAAAAATCATGTGTCTCCTAGAAAGGGGCAGCACTGCTCTTATGGCTGCAGGGCAGGTGAGATAAAGGGCGAGAGTTTTCTCCACCAACTGTTTTTCTCCAAACTGACCAATCTCTGAGCGGCCCTGCGGGATGCAGGCCTGGTGGTCAGCATGGGGGCCTGAGACCGCCTAGAGTTTCCTCTCTCTTGTGTATCACACACAGCCCGTCTTCAGGCACCAATGGCTGATTCATACAGCTCTACCAGACGTTCTGGGACGTCCTTGCCCTGGGCATTCTCATGAGCCAGGCAGAGCCACTGGGCTGTGTGTGGCTTCTCCTGTCAGAGGCAGCTGTGTGCACACTGCTGCTGCGGGTTCTCTGTGCCCTGAGGATGTTTATTCGGTTTGTTCACTGGGTGGACTTGCCGGCAGCTTAAATCCTGATCCTCAGCTGGTTATGGCTTCATTGCAACCTCCTCTGCATTTTTAAAAATATTCACCCGCCCCAGGACACTAGGAAGACACGTCTCCACAAAGGCAGCCTAAAGGCTTTACAATTAAAAAACCACCAATACAAGTCAGATCCTGAGTTCTAATCAGGTAGAACCCCTCAGCTCTCTGCACCTCTCTGCTCTGGATCTGTCTCCCTCCCATCAAACGAACCTCTCCCGCCACATGTCTAGCAGCTGTCAGCTGAAACTCACCTTGGCCAAATTCAAGTGCTTCCTCTGTCCCTGCTGATAGGAGGTGACGCACTCGTTGTCCTAGAACTGCAGAGAAATCAGAGCGTGGGGTTTGCTCTATAATTCTAGCAGTGGAACATAGTGGGGGTGCCGCATTTCTCCTCCCCATCACATAATTACAAGGTGTGAGCCATGCCAGGAATAACATCAACAAAGTTAGGATGGAATTAACACCAGCTCCTCACCGCAGCCTCAGGGTTACCTCAACAACAAGAGAAGCTGAGCTTGGACTGACCTCACTTTTGGCACCCCAACCCCTGATGCAGCCTGCTCCCCCCCGCCCAGTCTGAGCATAGGAGAGTGTCCAGGCTCTAGCAAACACCATCAGCTGCATCCCAGCACCAGCCCACCCCCACCTCATCCCACTGATCCTGCCACACCTCCCCCTATTCTCCCAAGCTACCCCACCCACTTCCTATTTCCCCAGCACATGACCATCTTCCACCTCCTCTGTAGGGTCCAAGAGGCATGTTGTTAACAGGCTCTGTGACATTCACTTCCTCATGTGCAGCTGCACAGGCAGGCACCTTAGCACAGTGGTTCCCAACTGCTAGTCCATGGACCAGTGGTGGGTCGTGAACTGCTGGGCCATGACACACTGCCTGAGCATAGGGGCTGGTGTTGCACTAGGACTCAGCAGCAGCCAGCAGGAACCTGTTGCTCAACAGGACCTAGGAGCAGGAGAAAGTGATCTTTGACTCCGGCTGGGAAGCAGGAAATGACACTCAGCCTCTGCTTGCTGAGACCCTGGGCCAGACAAAGGCCAGATCCCTGAGCCCTGAAGGGAGAGAGAGGGGGTGCTGGGGCTGCTGGGCCCCCCCAGCTCAGGCTACAGCCAGGAAGGGGAAATCTCCCACTGGGCCAATGGTATTTAGAAAGCTGTGCCCTGGGAGCTGCTTCCAGGGCAGTGCCCCGCCCCAGCCCAGCCCAGCCCAGCCCAGCCCCTGCCCCAGGGCAGGCAGCGCTTGGGGACAGGTCAGAGACATCCCACTCCTGTCCCTCAAGGAAAAGGGGCCCAGTGCTGCAGGGGCAGAGTTTATCCACAAGATGATCCCACTGGAAGGGTTGCAATCCCTGCCCAGGCCCAGGGAAGCTGCCAACAGCTCTCAAAGTGTGCAGGGTGGGGGGGAAGCTAGCCATGTGGGGACGAATAGGAACGGGCTGATAAGTCAGCTGAGGGGGAACAGGGATGTGAGAGGTGGGGGCAGGAGGGGGACTGGGGGAGCAAGAGCAGTTTGGCTGGGGAAGGGAGGAGAGATACAGGGCAGCACTTGAAAAGAAGAGGGACAGATGCCATGGCAGCTCTCTCACCCCAAGGGGCAGGAGGGGGGAGGGCAGAGGTTATTGCTGGTAGCACTTGGGGACACTTGCTCCTGTGCCCCAACAAAATATCTAAAGTTTCAAAACAGGGTGCTCCAAGTGCCCCCACTGCTGTGGGTACCCCTCTTGTACTCCTCCACCTGCAGGCACCAGTTGCCCCAGGGGAGGGGCTGCCTCATGCAGCAGCCAAAAGGGATTTTTTTTCCTATGATTTCTTTTAATGTCGATATCTGCGAACTCTGATCTGTGCGGGAGTGGTAACTATGCATATTCATTACTTGCATAATGAACATGCCATTACAACGTTACCAGTTTGTGACTGGGTTTGGTGGTTCCCGGTGTGAGAGAGATTGGGAAGCGCTGCCTTAGGGGGAACGCTGGCCAGAAAGAAGACAGCGCTGACGGAACAGCAGCAGCAGAGCAGCCCAGCACAGGAGGGGCTACCTGGAAAAGCAGCGACTGCAACAGCAGCCCACCAGGGTTCCAGGGCTGCCCTCAGCAATGGCTGCTCCCACTAGCAGGAGCCTCAGTGGCAGAGAACCCAACAACCCCCCAGGCTTCTCTCTGTGCCCCACAGAGCAGCAGGGATTTCAGCAGCAGCTTGCTGGGAACTCACCAGCAGGCCCTGGGCTCCCTGCGTTCCCCGGGCTCCCTCTAGCGCCCCACACAGGAGAAGCGGCTAGAGGGGTTGCTAAGAAAAGGGAAAGACATGAGGAACAAATGGGCAGTGGCAGAAAGAAAAGGGGCAAGTCAAGATTAGACCACAAGACTATGAAAGTGGCCCCGGGGGATTCGTCTGCCTCCCCTGCCGTCCAGTTTTCTGATAGAGGGAGCACAGCCAGCTGCTGATGGTGAGACATCTCCTCTGAAATCTGAGAGCTGCAGAGATCTCCTCAACTCCTGAAAGCTGGGCTCTGCCATCACATCTACCCCCATGGTTCGAGGGTGGAGAGCTCCAGCCTGAACTCCTCTTGGGGCACAGGGGGGTGGATGTCCCTTGGGTGCTCCGAGGCTGGTCTTGGCTGGTGACACCAAAGTCACTGATCTCCTGGACAATGGTTGGCAGGACTGAGTGGACTCCAGCATGCTTGCCCAGGATATAACGTTGCTGACAACACATCCTCCAGGAGATAAAGGCTGCTGTCGCCTGCCTCTGTGCCTTTATCACCTGGCTCGCTGGAGCTTAATGTCAGCCCCCTGCCGACTCAGCTCCCACCCATCACTCTGAGCCTCCCATTTCAGCTTCCTCATATTGAGAGGCACCCAACTGTATGAGGTATGGAGGGGTTAATGACTGGGCTGGTACCCTTGTTGGCATAGGACACATCTCATTGTACCTGTGCTCGGGGAGCTGGGACACTAGCATCCTGCTCCTCCGACAATAAACCTGATTGAAAGCCTGAGCCCCTGAACGGAGCCTGTGTCTTTCTACAGCAACAACCTGAGCCATGGAACATGAACAAGACACACACTCTGTCAATGTAGCACAAGGGTACCCCACAGACACTAACAGCAGCCAGACCCAGACCCACCTGCTGATCTTGGCTGGCCCCTTCCACTGACACCTCCAGCCAAGGCACAACATGAGCAAGATAATGGGGAAGCACATTAAGACCTTGGCTGTGAGAAGAGCAGACCCTTTGTTATGTTCTTGAACCTGCTTCCCCTGGGAGGAGGCGTGGAGGGGACAGTCTCTCTCACAGGAGCCAGGATTACTGGGGCTGATACTCCTGACACTGGGGGGCAGAGGACATTGTGGGGCCTCAACCAAACCCAACCCAACTTCTGATACCCGAGGGGACAGGAATCCTTACCCAGCCAGCTCACAGACTCATAATTCTCCTGCATCACATCCCAGTAGAGGGCTCTCTGGCCTGGGTCCAGCAGGGCCCATTCCTTCTCAGAGAAATACACAGCCACCTCCTCGAAGCTCACCGGCTCCGCCACGGCCATTTCCTGTCCCTGGCGAAGCTCACCGGCTCCGCCACAGCCATTTCCTGTCCCTGGCTCTGCAGGCCAGGGGCTGAGCTGGGGACAGACATGGGTGTTCTGCAGCCTGGCAAGGGGACAAGAGCAATTGGAGACATTTCAGAAGGGGCTTTAATCCCTTCCACACCCCCATTCTGCCCAGACACTGTTCCTAGTGATGCGTGTTATAGACTCTGCCACTATGGGCAAAAGTTTGAGTCTAGATATTCCATAAACAGCACCTTCAAGTTAGATCCCAAATCCATATTAATTTCTCTCAGTACCTGGCTTCAGTTTCAACATTACTGCACCTGTAACAGTGGGATTCAGTTCTCAGCACCCAGTGTTTCTGATAAACCATATATTCACCCACCTGAACATGGACATAGGTTAAATTTAGGCTGCTGTATTGAAAACTCTTAATCTTCATTCATCGATTCGCAGCACAAATTATGGTTCTCTCAGCTGACCCAGAACCAAGATTAAATGAAGTTAATACCATTCAGATCATATAATTAAACACGTGTGCTGAGTGTTTGCAGGATGAGATTTTAAAATTCGTGGGGTCAGAAGATCTCTTTAGCCCTGCAGTCTGACCCCCTCCGTGGCACAAGCCACTGCACTTAGTCCAGTTACCCACACACAAAGCTCTGTTTCCTAGAAAGTTGCCCAGTATTGATTTGAAGACATCAAGAGATGGAGAATCCATCAGTTCTTTGTCCGTTTGTTTCAACAGCTAATCCTCTTGCCTATCAAACAGTTGTGCCTCTTTTCTATCCTGAAATTGTCTGGCTTCAACTTTGAGTTATTGGCTTTCACTGAGCCGTAGCCACTAGACCAGGGGTGGGCAATTCATTTTGATGGGGGCGGGGCGGAGGCATGCCAAGATTTTGGGAAAGTGATTGAGTTGCACTCTTCCATGACACTAATGGAGGAAATGCATTAATTCTGGGATGGGCGTTGGGTGCAGAAGGGAGCTTGGGGTAAGGGGTTGGAATGCAGAAGGGAGAGAAGGGTCTGGGAGGGATTTTGGGTAAAAGAGGCAAGTGTGACCTGGGGCACTGGATTAGCCAACTATTCATCAAATATTTCAAGTAACTTTACAGAAGTAGCTGAGTGGACAAATAAGGGGCTGTGGGTTTCTCACCACTGAGTGCTCTTGCATATATAAGTGCAGGAGGAGGACAGAGTTTGGGTACGTGGAGTGGAGGGCAGAGATTAGGAGGGGAAAGGAGAAGTTGCAGTGCCAAAGGCAAGCTCTAGCCAGGAGACTTACCTGAGTGACTCCTGGCCAGCAGCCAAGCACCTCTCTCAGGCAGGAAGGGAGCCTGCCTGACCCTTCCACAGGCTGCAGAGCCATGTGCGAGTGTAAATAATTATGAGCTGGAGGGGAGGAGGCATGATACTTCATTTCTGGCCAAAATCTGGCCAATGAGATTGTCCTGGGGGTGGACAAAGTGCCTGAAGCCTTCCCCCTCTCCTCTGGGCCAATAGCTGCTTGTGAGTAGCTTACAGATGGGGTGTGGCAAGCACAGGACCAGCCCATGGCTCCCCACCAGCATCCATGGGCTGGATTCGATGGCTTGGTGGCGTTGATCCGGCCCCTGGGCTGGCTGTATTTTGCTCAGGCCTGCACTACAGTGAACAGTTCTTGGGGGATCCAGCGGTTTCTTGCCATGAACAGACCGATACAGAGGAAGCCAGTCAGCTCTCAGCCTATTTATGGTTTGAAACCAACCCCATATTGAAACTGACTGAGCAGTAAAATCTGAGCCTGCAGGTGCTGTCCGTTGTGTGCGTTAGCTTCACCCCTTCAGTATCATATCTCATAGACCAGTGTTTCACCAAGTGTCTACAGTTCCCCAATCCAGTGCCCCTGGGTCTCCTCACTGATCAGTAGATGAGATTTAGGGCTGTGTGCCCTGCGGTTGCTGGGTTTGGTTGGTAACTTCAATGACAATCCCATGAAGATGTTTCCACAGGAATTCTCATCATTTAAAGAATCTCCACCTGCAAACTCACCCTGTCTGAAAGCTCCCAGGCATTTTCCTCTTGATCTCTCCAGTGCAGAGGGCAGAGTGTCTAGAGGGGGAAGGGATAGGAGAGGTGAGATTCCAGGCTCTCCTATAACACTGTCCCCACTCCCTCCCACTTGGTTTTTCATTCACTTACTGCCTCCTATCATAACCTGGAGCTGTGATGGCGGAACACGTGGCCATCACAGTAACTTTAGCCATTTTGATCTCTGAATGGGAGCTTCAGAGTTTGCAAACCCCTGGCTCTATCTGCAAGCAGTTGGGTCTGTTCACTCAGTGTCTGTAAGGAGAGCCGAGCCATGGGGCCATCATTCTCCATGTGGGAATTGAGGCAGGGGAAGGTTGGCGTCAGAGGCCAGATTCAATAGTCTCAGATACTTGAACCACTTTCCCCTCCTCCATTATCTCTAGGTACCTTTGAACTCCCTCAGGGTCTCCGACAGCGCAATTGTTTTCTGGGAGAAACCACTGATTTGTTCTTCTAGTTCAGGGGTAATCTCCTCTGGCAGCTGGAATTGCCCCGTCTCACACCTGGACAGAAACAATTTCACGTGATTGTATTTCATTTACTGATGAAGTTCTGGCTAGTAAGTCTCAGCTTTAACAGGTCTGGAGTTAGAATTCCTCCAATTCTCCCAGCCTGAGAGCTGGGGCAACACAGTCCATGGGCACGCAGCCTTCCCCTGAAAGGTCCCATTGCTGTTCTTCACCTCTGGCCTGGCGAGACCAGCTGGGGGACAAAAGGGGAATTGAGTCTCCATAGCCAACTCACTCCTTGGCTTCCAGGAACTTAGGGACAAGAGGTTCCCAGGTGAAGGGCTGAAGCAATCTGCCCACTAGGGACTAGACTGATGTGGATAAATCCCTGTAATATTATCACTCATATAACTTTGTATTAAGATCTTGTCCTTTTAGATATATCTTTGTTAAGTGTTCTGATAGAATCTCTGTAACATTTCTCCTATAACTTTGTATTAAGAAAAAAAAATGTCTAGCCAACTCACTCCTTGGCTTCCAGGAACTTAGGGACAAGAGGTTCCCAGGTGAAGGGCTGAAGCAATCTGCCCACTAGGGACTAGACTGATGTGGATAAATCCCTGTAATATTATCACTCATATAACTTTGTATTAAGATCTTGTCCTTTTAGATATATCTTTGTTAAGTGTTCTGATAGAATCTCTGTAACATTTCTCCTATAACTTTGTATTAAGAAAAAAAAATGTCTTTTGAGCTCTCCCCTTTCCTTGATTGTCCTGTTGAAATGAATGAGGTGTGAATGGAGAATGAAAGGTGAGCACCTCCAGCAGCAATTACAAGGGTGGAGAAGGTCTGGGAGCCAGATCCAAGACAATACCTGTAAAGTGAGCTCATTAAGAAGACTGGACATGCAGCTTGACTCCCAAGGCCTCTAAGTGCCTGCCCTTAGAAGGACTCTCTTAGAAGCAGCATTAAGAAAGGCAAGGTGATGACTAATTGGCTGCATGAGAGGAATAAATGAGGCATCTTGCAGAGGGACCCCGGGTTTTCGTCTTGTCAACATGGGAGCATCGATCCGGATCGGCAGAAACCCGGCTCCACCTCTCCCCCATCTAACTCACTTGGCCAGTGCAGTTAGGGGGAGCAACTTTTGGTAACAAGACAGACTGTGCTTGTGTGTGTGAGTGCGCATGAGTGTAATGTATCCTATGCATATGACAAATATTGATCGATTTATATATGTTCAATAAGTGTGGCGTGTTGCCTTATCTCCCTGAAAAAGATACCGGGTGCTTCTTTTAAGCACAACACAGACTCCAGCTCCCCCATCCCCAGCTCCTTCCACACCAGTCTCCAAACAGCCCTTGGATGGGACAGACTCTTGATCCCTGCTGCCCTGGGTTGAATGTGCCTAGTGCCCAGCAGTGACAGGCCCATGTTCCAGTCCCACAATCCTGAGGCAGACAGTTCCCAGGGAGACAGCTCTAGGAAATATTTCACGTCAGAATGTGCCCTACATGGAGAATTCCAGAGTCTGTGGTACAAGGGTGAGACCCTCAGAATTAAATGAGTCAGAGACATTTGTATCCAACATCTGGCTGTAGAGCCCTGGGGAGATGTGGTGCTAACATTAGCTCCAAGCCCTACGCTGTGCAGTGAGAGAGGAGTGAGAACCACCTACCTGGTCAAGGTGTTTCTGACGCCCTAGAGGAGACAGACAGAAAAGAATCTCAGCCTCATTGGACACATATAGGGGACCGCAGGGAAGGGATTTTGTAAACATGGGAAGAGAGGTCCTGCCCTGGCCCCAAGATCCCCTGAACAAATGGGGCTTTGCCATCTCTAATAGCGCTGTGCCTGTAACTCTGCAAAGCACAACAGTCAGCACTGCACACAGAGTTACACCGAGATTGGATGGCTGGATCCCAGCACATGTAATTCAGGAGCCTCCCTTCCCTATGTGGGGAGCTGGGACATTTCTCTCTCAGTCTCACCTGCAGGAATTCACTCGCTGGCTTCTGACACATCACCTCCAGCTCACCGATCCACTCACTGAGATGGGAAATCTGTGCAGAGAGTCTCCTAACAGTGTCAGTCTGGAGCCTCCTAGCCTCCTCATCCAGCTTCTGCAGCTGGGCCAGCAGGAGTTGCTCTTGTTCCTTCAGGAACTGTTGCAGCTGCTGAAACTCAGCCACAATCATCTGCCTCTCGGCTTGGGTCCATTTCTGTATGAAAACAGGGAAAGGGGCTGGTCAGGGACATGGATAGAGCCCGGCACCCTTTCAAGTTGAGCGGAGTACACAGCAGGGATAACTTGTTAGAAAACCCTAAAATTCGTGCTATTTGACTCTGCCCTTTGGGTACTAGGCAGAGGTGTGTCTCTCAGGATCTTCTTTGGCCCTGTTTCCCTCTGAAAGGGATGTCCCCAGGGCTGTCATGGGCAGCAAGTTGTGTTATTCATGGGCGCTTGGAATTTCAGACCCAAAAAGCAGATACCCAGGAAGGAAAAAGAAGCAAACATATTAATGCACTAAGTGAGCAGTCAGCGCATTCAGTTCCCTTGGGGAAGATTTCTGGGAAAGCCACAAGAGCTGGAGATTAACTCATCCACTGACATGGAACCTCAGGGCTTGTCTACACATAGATCTAACCCAGCAATCCATGATCCAGGAGAGAGACAAACAAGCCCAACCTCACCAGGCCACACAGGAGTCTATCGCCGAACACAGCCCTCCCCTGCCAGTTCATTACCACAGACACCTACCAGATACTCCTGGTTTTTCCCCTCTGCTGTCGTTTTCCTTCCCAGCAGCTTTTCTCTCTCTTCCCTCAGAGTCTTCAAATGGGCCTTCAATTTTTCCTGAAGAAACGGAAATAAACACCAGGGTAAATCCATGAAATGTTGGGAGCCCATTTATCTGCCTCTAAGATAGTTCCAGTATTGTGGCGCTCTGTCCCTGTCCGGCAGGGACTCGGCCCTGGACATGGCTTTGTCCATTGAAAAAGGGTCAGGAGTAGACTGCGGATGTAGCAGGACACCTGTGAGGGTGGGGAACGGATCAGTGGTGGCCCCTTCATAAAGAATGTTGCAGGTGGGGATTAAGGAAGTAAAAAGGGTTAAAAATACTAAGTAACTGATTACAATTTAATCAGTTACAGTTTTTTTAAAATCAGCTGACAAACAAAATCAGTAGTAGACGTGGGCTCTTCTGGGGGCAGGGCTCTCTCATGGGGTCTGCCGGGGGTGGCAACCAAGACTGCTGGCAGGTGGGCACTCCCAGCAGCTTGACTGACATTCGTTGCTGGGGCAAGCAGGCACTGCCAGATACAGTGGGGAGTGTAACCAGTAACTGGCACCAATACGCATTTGCTCGTCAGTTAACCTGTTTGAACTCTTGCTACAACCCAGTCAAATTTCAGTGGTGCCTCGCATGGCTCTACACTGCCCGGAGCCCTGCTATGGGTGGACTCAAGGTGCTCGGGGCCCCACAGCATCCTGCCCAGTGACCTCCTCTAGTGCTGGCTGCCGCATCTAACTGTAACCCCTCATACAGTAGCCCAGGAGTTCAGCATCTCAGTGGGAAACCTCCTCCCTGCTGGGCCTGAGGCCTGTAGCAAGGCGCCTTTTCCACACTTCATCACTGTTCAGTGATGCGGAGAGGCATGAGGAAGTGTAGCTTAGTGTTTAGTGTCACCTCGGACTGAGCCTGGAGAGATCGGGGTTATGGGCTAAACTCTATCACTGATGTGATTGGTGACCATAAGGAAACTTGCTGCCCCATTTTCCCTTCCCACCATTTGTCTAACTAGACTGTGACCTGCTCAGGCGAGGGACTGTCCCTTGCTGGGCATTGTGCAGGGCCCTGATTCCATTGTGGTTCTAGAAGGCAAATGACTGATTACTACTGCTTCTCAGCCAATCAGTACCAGCTTGTAACCTCCTTTTCTCCAGTCCTAAGGTAGCTCACTCCCAGAGACTTGCCTGCAGTTCCTGTGAGCTAAACCAGTGATTCCCAACCTTCCCCCCCCCCAAAATAAACTACCCCTTCCTCAAAAAAAGGTAGCCGCAGTACCTACAGTTTTCAGACAATTTTTTTCTACCATTGCAACACATTTGTTTAAACAACTTAATTGTAGCAGGGCAGGTGATGACATTTTTGGGTGTAAGAATTACAAAAATAATAAAGCGATGTAAAACTTAAAACAGAACAAAAAAATCAGCTCTCTCCAAATTTCAGTTGTGTTGATGTACCCCCCAGATTTCTCTCAAGCACTCCCCTAAGGATACTCATACCACTGGTGGAGAAATACCGATCGAAACATCTCTGATGGTTAACACTTTCTCTTATGTTAAAACTCCTCCTATCACCAGTCAGAGCTGGGTTTCAGGATTCACAGCCTCAGATAAACATTTCCCACACCGGGTATCTGCAGAAACTTGATGCAAGTTTCCACAAAGCCAAAGTATTTACTTTTTACAGCATCTCTTGTGCCACAAAGAAGACTTTAAAGAGTCATGCCAGGTAACAGTCAGTGAAGTTAGCCTTCAGTTAAAACCCAATGTTATTTCCCATTACACTGGACAGCAATTCTGTACCTTGTACTCCTGGGCAGCTTCCTGTATGGGCACCATCCTGTGACCCCAGGGTCTGTCAAACCCCACAGAGATGGGAGTTTCAGCCTCTGCACAGAACAGCTTCAGAGCTTCCTGATGCTCCCCATGCACCCTGTCCCATCTTGATCTCTTTGCTGCCTGGAAACTCAGAGGCTTGGTTAGTGCCACAGGCTGGAGGGGTCCCTGCTGCTCAGTGTCTCTGCACTGAGGGCTATGGGGGGCTTGGCAGAAATTGTGCCCACACTCCAGAGTGACAGGGGCTGTGAAATCCTCCAGAGAGACAGGACGTGGAGCTTCCTCCCAGAGAGTTTCCAGGGAGCTCTCTGCAGCCATGGCTGTCTCCGAGCTGAGGAACAGGTGCTGTGTCATTTTCCTGAGCTGAGCAATGGAGGGGCAGGTCCGGCACTAAGGATAGAAAAAACAGAATTAAAAAAAAAACAAAAAAGCCCCCAAAGCCCTGTTCCCCCCCTGCCCCCGCTAGGCCCCTAAGCCACCTGACCCAGCCCGACCACCCGTATCTGCGCCC